CTGTCGCAGTTGCCTAGAAGGAAATATTTTTTCTGTAAGAGAGTAAATTGCACACGCTGATCTTCGAGAAATATTTAGCTAAGCAACGTTTTGAGGAAATTCCAAATTTGAAGATTTTAAAACATCATTTTTTTCTAAAACGTTTCCATTCAGTATTTTGTATCGACATTGAACGCTGTAGAGTATTTCTCACTTATTTCACGAACATTATTTCTTGTTACTTTTAGACAATGCAAATTTTTAGACAAATGCTCGTTTTTTGTGGAATAATTGCAACGCTTTCTGCGGAGATTTCTTTCTCATCCATTATTGGATCTTAGTTCCAAAGTAGTTTCTTGTATTTTTCCTAAAATCAAATTTGTTGCGGCTACTCAAGCGAAAATTTTCACTGCTGAGTAATTCGCTGATTTCCGTCCCTGACATTCAAATTCATGAGATTAGTTGTAATTTGATGGTAAATCTTCCACAATTAACAAAATCGATTTCTGCTGTTATTAACTTTTGAGAACAATTTGACGATACTTCAGTCCATATCTTAGTTGTGTGTGGCTTGTATAAATGTGCCTTGAGAAACCCTTAATGGTGGAGTCGGAAAAGACTGAGAGACTTTTGAGATGAACTGATAGAGCGGCGCTAATTGAATAACGTCGTAAACTAATTGACTGAACAAATTGTTCTTTGATAGAGAAAAAGGTCTATATTGCTTTAATTTGCATTGTTATTAGAATCTTGAACTTGCTTCACCCGTTTAATAGTCTTCCTTCCCACGACCTTATCTCAATCAGTGCTTTCGAAGATTTCAGTTGAGGAAACAGGAAGAGTGCATAAAACTATCTGGTAATTTAAACGAAAAATATCACTTTTATTTTGAAGACAAATAGAGATACTTGGTTCTGCTTGCGAGTGTGACGACGAATATGAATTCAGAGGGGGGCGTGTCACACCAAACATCGAAACCTTCTAGGTAATGACGCATTCAGGTGTTTGCTCTTCCCACACACATACAATCACCGAATCGCAGCGAGAAACCAACATGTAAGCTCTTAGTCGTACATGTATTTAATTCCTCTTCGAACACTTAACTCCAGCTTCCTCCTCAGCATTACGTAAATGAGCCCGCTAGGCATTTTTCGTGATAATTTCGCGCGTTATACGATGTGAAAAATGGTTTAATATTCAGAACCCCCCCTCCCCCTGTCCCATGAATTATTCATCCGAGGGCGTGAAGTTGACTTTTACTGCCCTTTCTTGTGAGCAAACCAAAGTTGACGTAATGCGGCGCAGTTGCCGCTTCGCTTGGTTCCGAAAGGCTTTCAACGCGCAAAGCGGCGGCGATTCCCGCCAAGCATTAGGCGACGCGGCGCGGCGCGGCGCGGGGCGAAGCGGCGGAGTCCGGTGGGGAGGATGGTAGATGGAAGAGTGGCGTCGCGAGGCAGAACCGTGACAAGATGTCGCGAGATGTAAAGGAATGAGGTGAGATGTAACGGAATGAGGTGAGATGTGACGGAATGAGGTGAGATGTGACGGAATGAGGTGTGATGTGACGAAAAGAGGTGAGATGGGACGAAAAGAGATGAGATAGGACGAAAAGAGGTGAGATGGGACGAAGAGAGGTGAGATGGGACGAAAAGAGGTGAGATGGGACGAAAAGAGGTGAGATGGGACGAAAAGAGGTGAGGTGAAATGGGACGAAGAGAGGTGATATGAGTTGCGACAAGATAAGACGAGGTTGAGCGAGACGAGACGCAACCATGAGGCGCGAAACGAGACGATACTAGGTGAAATGAAGCGGTAGGTGGGACGAGGTGCTATGAGAAGAGATGGCGGGAGAGAGCATGAGGCGTGCAGCTTAATAGCGTTAGGCGTGACAAGGTAAGATAATGTGAGAGTATGTGGAACGATAATATATGCTAAACTCCACCACGAAACAATGCGAGGTGACGTGAATCAAGACACGATTGTGCACAAGATAATCACGACAGAGTATTCAGAGACTAAAATGAGAGGGCGGGAGAAGGACGAAATGAATCTGAACATTTCGAGTTGAAGCAAGGCGCGGTGATTTGAAGATTGGTGATTTCAAACGATTTGCCCCGCGTTGAGGGACACAGAGAAGGCTGCTCTAAGTGGCAGTTTTACTTTTGAGAGAATCGAGAGATTCGGGGGTTTGAGTATGGAATTCGTCACTGTCTTGTACGCCATTTTTGCAAGAACTCTCTTTGGGCAGCGGCTACCGCCACCGCTGCCTCCGACATGGCCACTCCCGCCGCCGCCCGCGCCTCTCCAAACGCCCCAACCACCGCAGCCACCCCCGCAACCGCCGCCACCTCCTCCACCGCCACCCGCACTACTACCACCTCTACCATCATCGCCGCCACACCGGCCGTCGGGCCGCCATTACACCGGGAGAGGTGACGCAGGCCATCAACTGAGCAGTGGCTCTGACCGGGAGCTCCTAGGTTCGAGTCCTGGCGGTGACATGATTTTCAACACTAGCTAGATCGCTAAGCCCTCCAGTCGCTGTCTGGGGGAGAATTCTAGCCTTCGGTTCTAGTAGGTAGTATTCCGTGGTTTTTCCTGTCAACACCAGGCGAATACCGTGGCAGGAACCTAACAAATAGGTCACGGATCGGGCGCGATCTTTCCTGCCTCTTCCTTCTCTTGTCTCCACCCCTTATTTACTGGCACACACATGCACTAAACTACCACTGTACCACGCTGGTGGGAGATACCTGGTTGGGAACACCTAACTAGCCGACGGTGGGATGGCTACAATCGCAGGATCCAACGATGAGAATATCACCACCATATTTCGATGGATACGTGCACTACACTTACAGGACAGTGGCAGTTAAATCATCAACCAATCAATCAATCAAAAATCGCCCTTCCCACCGCTCTCGCCGCCGCCTCCATCGCCACCCCTGGCTCTGCCAGCCGCCCGCGCTACCTCTGCCTGCGCCGCCCGCGCACACTCGCCGGTTTGGGCGTAGCTGAGGGCCCCCCGCCCGTGGGCCGAGGCACCGTCTGCGGGCCCGGAGCTCCGTCCTTTCCGCCGCAGCCGCGCCTGCGGGGCCCTCCGCCGCCGCCCACACGATCGCCGCCCCGTATAGAGGCCGCGCCTTCGGCGGCGCTTGACCACGCGCCGCCCTCCACTCCCCCCCGCCCTCCCGCCCATGCCGTTCGCCCTCTGTTCACTTCTGCACACGATGCTCCGCGCCGCCACACCGCCGCGCTTCCGCGCCAGCGCGCGCGCGCGCGCCGCGCCACTTTCGCTGCACGAGCAGCTGCCGCTCGCTTGCGCGCCCGCAACAATACCGCTCCATTGATTGATTGATTGATTGAGGATTCCGGGCGCGTCAACTGCCAAGGTCACCAGTCCTGTAGGTGTAGGGCATGTTTATATCGCGGCAGGTGGCGGTCATCTTGAATTGAATTGAATTGAATTGAATTGAATGTATCCCCTGTTTTACGTGGCGAGACTCATGAGGCCTGCTCTTCCGTCTGACCACGCAAATTTCGTTACGCTCCTTTTACCAACTAGCAGAGAAAGGAGGTATTTCTTGGGCGAGAAACAGGCGATTTGAATTTAGCTCAGAGGCGTCATTTAGGCTTGAGGATCTTTTACATGCAAACAAATCTACCAACATGGGACAGCCGGCTTTACTTCCCCTCCGAAGGAAGGCGCACGACGGATTTATTCGCCCTTAAAAATCCACGGGTTTGAACCCGCCAACTTGGGTATAACAGTCCGGTACGCTAACCGTTACACCATCGCCGTGCGCATCGCGCATCTTTCCTGCTGATTGGCGCCGGCGCCAACCTACACGTCGGCTGGTGGGCGTTTTCTCAACCAGGATTCTCCAGTGTGGCACTGCCGTCAGGACAGGCACTAAGCGCCGGGTCTGGTCTCACGACATGTGTGTTAGTGTATCGCATGCAAGTGGCAGTGTGAGTAAGGCGAGAGAATAGGACAACGAAGATGAAGGAAAGATCGCGCGCCGTACGTGGCCCGTTCTTTAGGGTTCGGAGAAGCCACGGGTAATCATCAGGGAAACCACCGAAAAGAGGCCTAGAGTCGCTAGAAGTCTCCTCCAGACTGCGGCTGAATTCGACATGGCCACCACATAGCCTAGTGTCGGGACGGCCGCTAGGCTGTGCTGAGTCGGGCAAAGAAGGCGAAGACGCTCATTGTAGATGATGCAACACGAGACGCGGTGCAGGACGACGAAGAGGAAGATGGGCATTTGGTGTCAGGAATGCGCTGACAACTGGTAACAGAGTACAACTGGATGAGACTTGCGCTCTGCTGTGTCAACAACAGAAGGGGAAGACTTGGGAAGAACATTGTGGATGGGGCGGAATGGGACGGCGCGCGTGCGGGAAGAAGGGAAGAAGACGTGTGTATGAACGGGAGGACAAGATCGACTTTTGGAGTCGGATTGGTGGTGATAGCTGTGGTTCGTTCTCCCACATGAGAGCTTTTTAAATGTCTTTTTTTTATATTGCAACCGCAGGAAGAAGGTTAGCGGATTTACTTTTCGAACAACCCGATGGAAACATGACTGGCCAGTTATATTCCTTGGAAACACCAGATATGAATTTCCCTCTGCTAGGTGGAGCTTCTGGAACGAAAGACATTTTTAGATGAGATGATACGTTAAGCTTAGCGTGCAAAACGTCACAAGCATGCAAAGCGTCGCAAGCACGCCATCCGCTTGTCAGGATAAATTCGTTTCTTGCCCCTCCTCAATAATGCATTGCTTGTTGCTATTTGTTACTAGTCGTATTTCACGACTAGCTTCCTCGATTACATGTATGTCTGTATTTGAATAAGGAAACCAGTTCTCGAGGAAATTACTTACTACAAATTAATAGGAATCCTGTTCATATGGATCTGAGTACTTCAGAATCGTATGGGAGTCTTAATCGTTTTCTTTCAAAATGAAATCGCATTCACATGAATATGAGTACGTTACATCTAATCCGTATGGGTCTCGCTAAGTGTTATGTCTGTTATTTTTCGCCAATTGATGAGTCGTGTTTCAAATAAATTAACAAATGAATACGATAGACACGCGATCCAGTGCATTATTCAGATCACGGCAACATCTAGTTCTTTGGAATCAGAAATGTGGTGACAGCTGTGGGATTCCTGCAGTTAATGGAATTGGAATGTAGATGGAATTGCTGAAGTCAAAATGAATGTCTGTTTTAGAAGAAAAAGTGAAAAGTTGATTGGCGAGTCGCTTTCCTTTTTGGGAGAGGAGGCGGCCTCCCGGGTTTCCTCGAACCGACTTTGCGTTGCGTCTTTGGCAACGGAGCTCGTTGAGTCATTATTACGTCATTTAGAGACGCGGGTTTTCTGACAAAAAGTCTATGAAATCAAAGCAGTTGACATTTTCGTGTTAAAAAAATGCGATGTAGGATTTAATTTTCAAACTGGTAAATTTGTTGACTAAATGCTTAAATTATATAAAAAAATTCAAATCTTTATTTAGCACCTTGCTATGAGAATGGTTTATGGTAAGTGACCGTATCTCTCTGAAACTTCATTTTAATTGTACAATTAAGTCTTGAAAAACAATATTCTCTGTAGTGAAATAAAATTACCATTTGGTGTCATATTTTAAATATAACATCAATAATAATAATAATATTATTATTATTATTATTATACAGTACAATAATTAAATGTAGTATCTTGTAAAATATGTAACCCTCTAGTTTCTAAAGAGTGTTAAGTTTAGACTCTCTATTGTTGTTTTCACAGAAAGAAGGACAGTTAGTTTTGTTTAGTTGAAGATTTGCAGTATGAAAATGGATGTAATAAAAAGTTAATTGAAAAAAAACTTGTATGTCTGTATTCTCTTCGAAAATG